AAAGAATATTTGTTTTCATACTGGTTCACTCCAACTGAGCTACGTCCAATTTTCATTTAAGCACTCTTAAAGGGTTCCACTATCTTTGAAAATATACAGCGAGTTTTACACTCTTGGTTTACAATGAGTCTAATCATGTCTGGCATAAAATAGTCCAACTGATTATAACGTGTAACTCCCCTGAGTTAAACAATCAAGTGTTTTAAATCACTTCTGACTATCCAAAGACAACAAAGTGTTTTAAAATAAGTACATGTTGAGAAGCTCTCTTAGAGAGAAATTAAATCAATACAAAGTATATCTAGAAAACTTGTTACAAAGAGTTTTCTTTTTCAAAGAGTTAGACAATGCAAGAGAATGACAATGTAAGAGTATATGCAATTAGTTGTTCTTCATCTCTTCATGCGGTCTTCTTTATATAGGCAACTTCAAAAAAGATTCGTTAGTCAGAAGCATTGACTTTGATGTAGGTGTTGTAACCTTTTGTACTAGGTCAGATGCTATTTTGCTTTTGCAAGGGAACTGTGCTGCTTGTACGGATTGAGCAAACAAAAGACATTGAAGAAACATTCTTATAATGTCTTCGTATCCATTAAAGTTTTTCTGAACCAACACAAAAACATTTGAATAAAACAATTGTCCTTATATGATCTACGCAGATAAAGAGAAACAACACAATAGGCAAAAGAATATTATTCGTACATTTGAATTTAAAATGTTAGACGTTCATTATAGTATTTAACATGGTTCTTGTACTATAGAACTTATGCTAGTTTATTTATCAAATCATTGCGTTTAGAGTAATATATTGCATTAATGCTAGACTCTTCCTTTTAGCTCTTAGGATATTATTTAATCATATATAGGGTTTAGCTCGTTATTCTAGATGGTCATTTTTATAGACACTATGCTTTCATTAAATTTTAAAATAAAGAGTTCCTAGACTATCTTGCCTTAACACCACCATGGAGCGAACACAATATAAGAGAATCGATTCCCATAAACGTTGTAACCAATTCTAGTTAGATGCATATATGAGAAGGGAATCGATTCCCATGACCTAGAAGCGATTCCCAATTAGATGCATTGATAAGGGAATTAGTTCCAACATGCATGAAATCAAGTATGATGTCCCAAGAACCAATTCCAGTTCATCAAACATAATTTTTAGTGTTTTTTATAATTTTAGTTTTTCAAATAATTTTTACAAAATAAATATAACTCATATAAATATTATTTTATATTACTTTTAATATTAAGAACAATTTAATAATCTTAATTTTCTATCTATTTAAATACTTTTTTTAATATATTATTTAAGTCAAATCAATCATGTACAAAATTTATTTTCAAATCCATTTACTACCATCTTTAAATTCTTTAAAAGAAATAACATATACTTTATTTTTAAATGCACTCAAATTCATAAATTCACATATTCACGTTAGAATCATTTTTGTAAATAAACACAACCTAAATCATTGATATTCATTGACTTGTAAAATAGATTTAACTGTTTATTTTTTTTCAACATGCAACTTAAATAGTTTATCCATAGTTAATATTCAAGTAAGTAAAAAGCATAATTATTATGAGATGAGATAAAGTGAATATGAGTATGAGATAGATGTCGCTGACTTTGGTGATGACATTCTAATATATAGGATTTCTTATTTAACGTCACAGAAATTGTATTGTATATTATATACAAATTAAAATTTAAAATGACGACAAGTGGAACAATGTTTATATTCTTCATCACCAACCTTTTATAGATTTTATTATTACAAGTTTATTTTCAATCCAAGATAATTTATCTTTCTTGATATTTATTCTTAGAATTTTATTTAAATCTCTTACAAATTATTTAGAATTTAATTATTATTTGTACTGAACCTTCTTTAAAAAAGCTTTAGAATTCAAGTTTGATTGTTGTCGTAGTGTGTAAGTTTAGTAGATTCTTATCCTTTTTAATATAATTAATAGACTTCATATTATTATGCGTTTTTAAGATATATATGTTTTATAAAAGTTATCGTAAAAATGTCTTCAATATCATATTTAAATAAATTTAAATCTATTTTTAGTTTTCCAACTAAAGTAATATTATGTATAACTATAAATTTTCACATCTCATTTGTGATACTTTCAAAATCTATTAATATTTTCCATCACATAAATATTTATTAAATAAATAAAATAGTATATAGTATTGGAGATTATATCGAACCCATGATAAAAATTATATTGGACAAACTTAAATTAGTTAACTTAAAAACATAATAATTTGCTTCACAAAAAAAAAAAAAGCTTTTGAACTATGTAGTACAAAGATATAAACAATGGTGTCATATCTCTTTAAAACTCCAAGGAACCATTCCTAGATTCAAAAAACTATGACATACTAAACAAGAATAATTTTTCATCAAAATCATTGAACCTCCTCAAAGCATGCTCTAAAATATAAATAGCATAATATATACAGTATAAATAGAATTATGTACTCCTAAAAAAACTTAAAAATTGTCCCATATTCACTTCAATTTGTTTTAAATATACTAACACATAAAATCAAACCAGAACAACCTTATTTACCATAAACCAATTAGATAAAACTTGTCATTCCATAAATGAAATCATTGTACTCTCTTTAATTTGAATATTAAAAAAATTCATCATTAAATAAAGTTCATACAGTATTAGTCATATTTTTTAAAGTTATTTTCAACCATTGACTCCTTAATTTAAAACATAATAAAAAAAATAATTAAATTAAAAAGATTATTATAATTCATATCTCTAAATCATCCAAATAGTTACAATAATCATATTATATGTTTGTTTATTTTAGTTTGTATAATTTTGTTCATTTTTTAAAATTGAAAATAACTTTTTTACTCCAACAATATGTGATCCCATTTAACTATTTACAAGTATGAAAAGACTTATTAAAAAAAATATAATGCGATTATGGTAAAACTTAGAGATCGGTTAACCTTATCATAATATCTCAATAACGCGAACAAATATAAAATTAGGGTGATTTTTTCTTTTATCAAAGTTTATGAAAATGTTTTATTTTTTTATTTTACAACTTCTTAATAAATATTTTATCTATTTCAAATTACCTATAGCTAAGAAAATTTTAATTCATTTTCAAATATTTTTCATTTTAAAAATATAGAAAATACAAAATACTTTTACATTATTTAGCCGGTTAAAATATACATGCAAAACAAAATGAGATTCTACAAATAAAACAGTTTGATTAGATTGAATAACTTCAAATGCTTTCTCTTAAAAGTAATTGTATCAAAATATAAATAATATTTACACTCTATTCATATTTCACTTCACTTTATTCACATTTTTCTTCACTCACAAAACACACTAACTATAATATATTATCAACAAACAACTCTATATTTCCACTAAACAGATAATGTATCAACAAAGAGTAGATACAATGATATTTATGAAAAAATTGGTAATGGTATCTTAATTAAATAAAATTGGAAATTGGTATAGTTATTTAGTGCTAAAAATAAAATAAAAAATTAATATAATTAAGATAACGAAAATATATATTTGAAATTAAGATAATTGAATTTAATAAGAACAAAATTTAATTAAATGAAATTTTTTATTATATAAATAAAAATAATTATACATTATTTTAATTTTTCATCTAATAATTTATTTTTAATATTATATTTTATTAAATATTTTACTTAGAGTTTATCATTTAAAACTTCTTAATTTTGATATTTTAATATTGAACCACTATAAAGTATTTTGTAATATGTCATAAATAATATTTTTACCATTAAAGATAAAAACTAATAAAATATTTTTAATTTTTAGAATTAATAATTATAGTCTATAGAAATTTTATGTCGTTTAAAAATTAATCATTACACCTTTCTTTTTCCATCTTTACAAAATACACAGCTTTAAATTTATGTAAATATTGTCCCATCTCGGTATAATCTCTTTAAATTTTTTGTTACTTTTAAGATATTGATATTGATTTTTATTAGTTTTCATTATATATTAAATAAATAATAAGAACAAAAAAAACATTTTCTGCAATAATTTATTTAATTTTAGAAAATACATTATTGCTTCCTTATATGGGATAATTTTCTTAGCTAAAAGAGTTATCAAGAAATATTGTTTACGAAGAACGCAATGTTTTAAAAATTTAACTGAATATATAAAAGAAATATCAGACATTTAACTTGGTATTATTCTTTCTTTTTATTTATTTATTTATTTATACAGATAAAGTAAAAAGTAAATACATTAATTTTAATAAGATCCGATGAATCAACTAAAACACACAACTCAAAAGATTTTCAATTATCTATGTCAAAGTATTTTCAATGTAATAATTTATCTCCTTTACTTAACGTAAACTGTTGAAAAAAAAAAACAAAGTGTGTTACTTATTGTTAATGAATGACTGTTTATACATAAACAATTAATATTGCTTAACAATTCTTTTAACAATAAATAATTTATATATGTAAAACCGTTTATATAACTTTTCTACTTAAAACTAGCTAAGTAATATTTCCATTCAACAAAATAATAAACAGTTGAATATGTTTCATAAATATTCGGCAAACTAATTTTGATAGTGATATGCTATTAATAGTTATTAGGATAGATGTTCTGGTACCAACGATCATTATCTATTGCGGAATTCTGACTTATATATAAACATTAAAGGAATGTATATGTGTAAATAATAAATTTAGAAAGATTTTGTAATCTTCTAAAAAATGAATTTATTTAGAAAAAATCTTCTGTAAAACTCGTGTATGTTTAAAAATAATATAGAATTACTTAAAAGTTAAAAAAAATTATTAATTTTTAATTATTTGACTATATACGAATATTTATTTTGATAGACACAAATTAGAGTTGATAGAATTTATTTAGGTATATTTTGAAATATAGTTATTATTTGGCCAAAATTATTTTTCATTCCTTTTATCTCTGTTAGACTTTGACTTTTGCCAACGGAGAAAAAGCAAACAACAAAAAATACAACCTAAGAAACAGACAATAATATAATAACATTCATAGTTTCAAGTTTCAACCTTTGTCTCAACATGCCAACCTCTTTTCTCTATCCTTCTTCCATTTGTATATTTTCCAAGTCCTTCCATGCATTTTTGGCCTTCGTTTTATGCATTTGTCCGTCACCTTTATACGCCTCTGCTTCACACTGAATTCTGACCCTTCATATCTTTCTACAAAACAAAAAAATTCTTCTTTCTTTTCTCCCTCGCTTCTTTTCTCCCGAATATCATCTGGGTATTCCCTGGATTTTTCAGGGGTGCCCTTGTTTTCTTCATCGGAAATTGCTGTGACTGGGTTGCAAACATGGGAGGCTGTTGCAGCCACGAAGTTTCGGTTCGAGGGAAGGTGGAAAGCGAGATAGATGATAGAGAATATGAGTGTGATCATGAAAATCATGAGTCTTATGAACGTGGTGGAGCATTGGTGAGACTAATAGGATCTTCCAAGTTTGTTTCAATGCACACCCAACAGGGCCAGAAAGGTGTGAACCAAGATGCAATGACAGTTTGGGAGGTATGATTGCCCATCTACTTATTTTCATTTTTATTTTTCTCTATTTATTCCATCAATTTTGATGGCTTTTTGTGCTTTTTGATTTTTTTTTAATTGCCATTAAAGTTTTCAATCAATTCCTGTGGCCTGGATTGTGGTTGTCTCTTTCGCCGCGAGCTTTTGTTTCTTTTGGTGAATTTAAAGGATAAGATTCTCATTAGAAAGTTGTTTAATGTGTTAGTAGTAACCCGTTCTTCAGTTGTGTTATTTTTGTTCAACATTTTTGCTCCCTTTTGTTTTTTCATGTTATTCATAGTTTTCTCTGCCTTAACTTTCCTTTATTACCCACGTTCTATGTCTCCTCCTTCTCCACCACTTTTTATTGAACCAAAAACATGAAAATTTGTTGTCGCTGACCAGATATAGATTTGAAGTGTATAAGAATTTTATCCTTGTCTTCACTTTGTGTTTCATAGCTTTATCCTTTAGTTTCTATGCTTTTTGGTAATTCCTGAGTGTCTCTGGTTTCTCTGTTTGATGATAATTGCCATGATTTAGAAGTAACTCAATTTTAACCATTCTTGATGTTTTTTTTATAAGCCAAATATTAAGATGGTCTATGAAGAAGAAGATAAACGGTTGAAAAGCAACCTGCAAGCACTTTTACAGTTGCATTTGTTCTTCCCCTTGGGTTTGGGGAATTGCTACCAAGATTCCATTTTAATGGTCATTTCAGTACTTGATTGTTTTCTTTGGTTTTATGGTTAATAATGAAAGAATTGAGTTACTCCGTGTCTGTATCCTATTATTGCCTTTATCACAGCATGGTGTTTTTAATAGATAAGACATGTGGCTTGGACTAAGATTTGATATGGAACATTTATTTATAGGACTTCGCAGGAGAAAAGGATGTGATTTTTTGTGGTGTGTTCGATGGCCATGGTCCTCTAGGCCACAAGGTTTCACAATTTATTCGTGACAATCTGCCCTCAAAACTGTCTGCAGCAATCGAAATTTCACAACAGAAGACAATAAAGTTTTATGATGCCACTGATGCAGAAACTGCTAGTTTTGAAGATGGCTACGATGACGGTAACCAGATGTCCCTTGCTTCATGGGAGGGATGCTTTCTGAAATCCTTTGATGAGATGGATGAGCACCTTGCTCGGGAAATTAACACTGACAGCTATTGCAGTGGTTGCACTGCTGTGACTTTAATTAAACAGGTATAACTACTTGTTCACAATAGCATTCCCTACCAGTCAAACACTTTTAAATTATGGAAATAACTATATCCATCACTTTCCCACCTAAAATTCAGGGCGACCAGCTGATAGTTGGCAATTTGGGTGATTCTCGTGCAGTTCTTTGCACAAGGGACAGGGACCAACTCGTTGCTGTTCAACTCACTGTTGACTTGAAACCAGAAATTCCAAGTAGGTCTAGGATTTTCCCTCAATTTCCAAGTCTTTAATAGACCTTAAAATCTTGAGTTTAAACCATATTTTCTTCAATTTCTCTCAGGTGAAACCTCTAGAATCGTTAACTGTGAAGGAAGAGTGTTTGCAGCAGAAGAAGAACCAGATGTGTACAGAATATGGATGCCTGATGATGACTGCCCTGGACTGGCCATGTCAAGAGCCTTTGGGGACTTTTGCCTCAAAGATTATGGCCTCATATCAGTTCCTGATGTATTTTACAGAAAAATTACCCCACAAGATCAATTTGTGGTTTTGGCAACTGATGGGGTAAGCAACATTACGATGTCACCTTAGTGTAATTGATCTCAAATTCCAAGTTCTATTACAAATTACTGGTTGTTTCTCTCGCTTCATATATTTTCCCAATCCAAATGCATATTCAAATAGGTTAACCTGTTCACTTGATTTTTATGATTGTCCCCATTTATAGTTTTATCCTCATAAGAGAGAATTGTAAATTTGAGTCCCTTCACATACATAAAAGTTAATTATCGGTCTCTATTGTTAACATCAGATAATACTTTCTCTCTGAAAGTGGTAAATCGCCACAAAAAACTATTAAGGAACTACAACTTTTGGTTTCCTCATAAAGAGACTAAACCTTGAAATGTGGACAACTGTAGGGCCTAAGTAACAGTTTAACCTATGCTAGTATTTAGTCAAATCATGGAAGCAATGAATTACTTTTACAAACATCAATTGGAATGATCAAAATTTTTTATTTTCTATTTTCTGCACAGATATGGGATGTGCTCACTAACCATGAAGTAATAAGCATAGTTGCTTCAGCACCAAGGAGGTCCATCGCAGCCAAGTTGTTAGTGAAGCGTGCTGTAAAAGCTTGGAGATACAAATATCCTGGTTCCAAGGTTGATGATTGTGCTGCCATATGTTTGTTTCTGAATGAACAACCTGTTCAATCCAACTCACAATCCCATATGAGTAGACAAAATAGAAAGAGCAGCAAGAACTTGCATCACTCTAAAACCACTAGAAATGAAGACACTGAAACAGTGGATGGCAAGGTTGGGTTGGAAATAGATGAAGAATGGAAAGCTCTTGGAGGGTATTCGAGAGCAAACTCTTTGTCAAAACTTCCACGCCTTGCCAGGGGTATGAGTAAACGGCAATCGTCCAAGTACTATTCACCGCGTTGAAGCTCACTAATTAAGGGCCTTCAAAGAAGTTGATGTATGTTTAGAAGGAAACAAAACGAATATTTTAGGATCATATGAAAAATTTAATGATGAGCTTTGTATGAAAATCTATGTTCAAACATGTTCATTTCACTCGATCTTTAAAAAGATACCAAACTGCATGACTACCTCAAGATGTAATGGTTGTGCCTTCTCAAAACATTGTCAGGGTGTCCATAAAGTAAATTACATACCATTATGACTGTCACCAATGGAAAGATTTGTTTTCTTCATTTTATAAATTGAATTTGCATTGTGAAGAGTGACTTCTGACGTATAAACTCAAATGGAAGTTGTCTAGGTTCCATATTCTGTCAATGCTCTTAATATCTGCAAAATGGTCTGCAGATTGATTGTTTTTAGCTCATGGTATGACCAGTTCCATGACAAAATCGTTTGGTCTCAAGAGTTAAAGAAAAAACTGAGGGACCTCATTCATTTATTTATTTATTTATTTGCTATGTAAATTAAGGTTGTTGATTCCTTTAGTATATCATGCCCACTAAAGAGTTTAAATTATTGCCCTTTGACCATCCGGAGCAAACAAGGTTCCTCCTCTCTTATCTATAATCTGTCACTTTTCAGAATCATAACTTCAAACTCTGCATTTATTACTACTTTTGTTCTACTTCAAATTCTCTACCACTAGGAACAATTGGAAAAGTGCCCCCGACTTTTAAAGGTATAATAATGAACCATTGGAACACCCTGGCTTCATTGCTTGCATTGAATAGGAAGTGTTTAATGCCCTTGGTTAGTGCATCAGTGACCGTTCTTGTTGGTTGCAGTGGTGGTTTCATCAAAGTCTCAGAAGTTTAGCTTTTGCTTATAAATTTTGTCCAGTAACAGATTTTAGACTCTGAAAAAACCTTTCAGTGGATCAAATCACATACAAAAGCAAGTTAGCTCTGAATATAAATTGTCATCATCCTTTACTGAACACAGATCACCTAAGGCAAATTACATTGTAAAATCCTAAGGATTTTTGTAATTAAGGTTAATAAAACAAATACAGAATAATTGAAAATTCCTCGGGATCACTAATCTGCTTACCATGATTTTGGCACTGAGGAATCAGATAATTCTCAAGCTTCCCAAACACTCACTACTCCTAACTTTATTGATACGATCGGAATCATAGTTGATGCTAATCTTGATAAGCTAATAGTGAAGTAATTATAGCATTTCATAGATAAAAAAAGCTGCATATAGAGGGTATGCACCTAATATCAATGTGAATGACCTGAACCCTTACCCTTTACAAGAACAAGTATTACATTACGTTAAATCTAATTCTACAAAGTGCATTGGAAAAGAGAGGGTTGGTGCAAGTGTGGACTAATCTTCATGGTCCCATAAATCCGCCGCACACTTAAATGGACCATCGCTCTTGTTCACAAAGACCGGTTCACCGTCCAGAACTCTTCTCTGCAATGTATCAGTAACCAAGGAAAGAAAAGAAACACATTTATAGGATAGAGTGAATGAATGTGTGAAGTAAAGTAAAAGATAAGGTGTATGATTTTTTTGCTACAAGACTAAGATGAAAGACCAAATAATGTCAAAAAAACAAATGTTGAGTGCCTACCTGCTCCTGCATGCTGCTAAGGGCCTTAAAATCTTTTGCTGGAAGTTCCCAATTGAAGACACTGACATTCTCCATGATCCTGTCTGGCTTGACTGATTTGGGGATGACACTTGTCCCTCTCTGGATGGCCCACTTCACCAGCACCTGCCCTGGGTTCTTGTGAGATTTGTTAGCTATCCTATCAACCGTTTGATCTTTGGTCAGATTCGTCCCATTGTTTGATGAGCCCAGTGGAGAGTAAGCCTACAACAGTCAAAATTTTCATTTCAATCATGACCCTTTGTCATAAAAATCAAAAACCAAAAAGAACAAAGTTAAGCTAGCAAAGTGCTGATTACAGTGACATGGATGTCATTCTTCTTGCAAACCGCAAGCATCTTATCATTTCTCCATCCAGGATGCATTTCCATCTATAACAAAATAGCAAATATACAAGTTCAGAAAAAAGGTGGTGGTGGTGGTGGTGGTGTACCATTATCCAATGCAATACTCAACGTTTGAGATTTTTCATTGTTCATTCCGGATAACAGAAATTGAAGTAACAAAAAAATCTGTACTTATATGAGTTCACCTGGCAGACAGAAGGCATTATTTGAGCAATGCTCAGCAGCTTTTCAAGCTTTGCTAGAGTGAAATTGCAGATTCCAATGTCTCTGACAAGCTTTTCCTCCACAAGCTTCTCCATTTCTCTCCACACCCCTTCCATGTCAAACTCTAAAACATCTCCTGGTCCTGGGGGTCTGCTGGCCCCATCTTTTAGACGAAATGGCCAATGAATCTGCTGCAATTTATACATTAGAGTCTGTCTTCTATTACACATACCAAACCACGTGCATCATGAATGGAAGAAAAAGGTACAAAAAAAACATATATTTCAGACATGATAGAAACTCATTACCAAGTAAAGATCAAGGTAGTCAAGTTGGAGTTCTTGAAGGGTATTGTTGAGAGCAGGTCTAACCCTTTCAGGGGTCAAGTCAGTGCACCTAGTAGATATAAAAATTCACCATGAGAGTTTCTTTAAAATGTTTAGATAACATTACTCAAATGAATTTAGAAGGATCAGCCAAAGATTTTGTATACATCTATTTGATTATATTACCATAGTTTGGAGGTGACAAATAGATCCTTCCTTTCCACTCCTGCTTTCATGGCTGCTTGGAGTGCTTGTCCAACCTATAAGTTGATAGATAATTTGAACAAATATGACTAAAATGGTGATCTAAATCAAGATAAACTACTAGGAAACACAATAATACTTCTTTTTGAACTCCATACTGCGAAGCAGTGTCTATGTGTCTATAACCAGCCTGCAGCCAAAGTTGGATCATATCAGACACAGCTCCACAAAAAGACAAAAACAAACTTGGTTTTCTTTTTCTTAAATGTTTTTCTAGTACCCCAAATAGACAAAAAAAATTGTTTTTAATCTTTCTAAAAAATAAATGATCTTTTTGTTACTTTTGGACTTCTTAATGTGGGGGGTAAAAAAAGCATTATCCAAGTACAATAAAGTCAGAAACTGGAGATCCTCAAAGAGATGTGAAAACTCTGAAGGGGGTATTGAAGTTAAGAAATGCTCTTAAAATCTGAAATTTGTTCCACAAAACTCTCTGTTTTTTTATAGTATGTTAAAAGTGCAACATACCCTAAAGCTTTAATCATTCATCAATGTACAATGATGACACCCCACACCCAAAACCAATGTCCCAGAAAATGCATAAACAGACGTAAGAGTGAAAGCAGGGCAGTGTAACTACATCAATAATGGCAGTGAAGACAGAATTCGCTGCCTCTGAACCAGACTTCCATGTCCCCAATCCAACAGCTGGTATGGTATGACCACTCAAAAGTGTAAACGCCTGTGTCTTCGGTTCATGTGGCTTAACAACTTGTGTCATCTTTCAATGTTAGCTAATAAAACTGGTGTTTGTTTGTTTTCACAGATTATTACTATTATACAAGAGACTCTTTCCAAGTACCCGATCACGTAGGAGATGAGTGACACATATCTGACCAATTTGCATGCAAGACACGTTCACAACACTTGAGGCTGCGTGTTCCTTTCTGCCTTCACTGGGCTCACTCTCTTACACGTTTCCAACGTCTTTCTCTCTTTGCTTCTCTTCCTTGACACATGGTTGGGAAACCGAACAATGATACTTAAGTGTGTCTTTTCTTAGTCGTTACAAAAAACATTATCCTATTTTTAGTTGTTTTTGTCTGCTATCTGGTGTTATAAAAAGAATGCTAAAAACATGTATTCTTTATTTATTTCCAAAAAATTAACTCTCCCAAATTATATATTGTGATTTTTTTTTTCAAAATAATGAGATAATGAATCTGGACCCTGTTGGTGTTCAGCATGAACTGACATGCTATGGGGAAAGTGGAACTGTGTAAGGTATCTGTAAGTATTCTGGTGCTAAATTCAGTGAAAATTTTTAGATAAGTTGACGTATTTATAAGAGTAAATGCGAGCTGAATTCTTATATATTCAGGTTTATATCATTAAAGAGAATAAGTGTTTTCTTTAATAGTAAGGAAAAGGTTCCTTTTAAAATAAATAGGATTGTTATTAATTTAAAACAACGACTTAATAAATAATAAATATAATACAAATATTAATTTTGAAATAAATTTATTTACATTTTATTACTGTAATTATTATTTTTTCAGCTAATTTTGGCTCTTGAGTAGCATTGTGAAAACTCAAATTTTATCTGCAAAATGATACTAGAAGCACTTTTATATAAACAGTTAGGATACAGGGTATTTCGGATAAAGGGTATAATGGAAAATGGGATTAGGATAGAAAGTAGAGGAATTGTATAAATAGATTGTTTGGATAGTTAGAAAGCAGTTTTTGAGTACATTGTTTGTTAACAGGCCATTGACCTGTGAAGAGGGTTATGCCTATGGATCTTGTATACACACTATTCTTTCTATTAATAATACATAATTCACCATATATTTCTCTTTGTTTTTTGGGTATGAGAGACTGTGAGGGAGTTCTTGATTAGGTTCCCAGTTTAGGAACCTATCAATTGGTCCGACCTGCCGGATCGAGACGCCGCCAGAATTGGGTGAGGGTGAAAGAAATTGCGGTTAATAGAATGACGGTGCAGACAGAGGAGTTGTGATCAGATTATGCAGCAATTTGCCAAGATTATGCTGCAATACGCCAAGATTATACTACAATATGCCAAGATTTGCAAGAAATCATAAGGATGTTGGGTGGTCGAGGCCACAATCAGGACGACCAACATTGGGACCGACGAAAGGAAGAGGAAGGGGGGAGAGTGGATGAACGCCATGAAGTGCAACCCAGCGGGGAGAGAAGAGTAGATTTACCCGTTTTCGAAGGGTTTGA